ATCTGAAGGTACTTCCTTTCTTTTTAAGAAAAACTTAGTGAAACTAAGGACTCAGCAAAAAGCTGCAGATGGTTTTCAATTTGCTCACTCGTTCTTGCATGACAAGTTCTGTATGTTTTTGGTTGCAGCTGGAAAATGTTCTTGTTGATGCCAAGGGGAACATAAAGATATCAGACTTTGGCCTCAGTGCTTTGCCCCAGCATTTTAGGGTACATTACTCTTCCAAACCAAACTTTTTTAAGTGATAAGTTTGGTGTCTAGTAACTTAACCCTTTAATTCTGTCTGATATATCAGGAAGATGGGTTGCTTCATACAACCTGTGGAAGCCCCAACTATGTTGCTCCTGAGATTCTTGCTAATAAAGGGTACGATGGTGCCACCTCTGATATATGGTCATGTGGTGTCATCTTATACGTCGTTCTTACCGGATTTCTCCCTTTCGATGATAGAAATCTTGCAGTTCTCTATCAAAAGGTGTTGACAATAACTCTCTTTGATTTTCTTGTGTTTGTTGTATGGCTTTAGGAATGAAGAATTTTTATTATTATTTGCATTTGCATCACTTTGATGCTAACATTTTTAGAGGGATTTCAGATCTTGAAGGGGGAAGTTCAGATACCCACATGGCTATCACCTGGTGCAAAGAACTTGATAAAAAAGATTCTTGATCCCAACCCTGTTACCAGAATAACAATGACAGGCATCAAGTCAGATGAATGGTTCAAGCAGGATTACTCTCCTGCGAATCCTGATGATGAAGAAGAAGATATAAACGTTGATGATGAAGCTTTCTCAATAAATGAAGTGGTATGAATATGCAATTCATGTCCATTGCCTACCTTTTTTTTTGTACATCTTTCAGTTTCTTTTATGCTATAACTGAGAACCATTTCTTTTACCTTTTGGTATAGCCATCTGAGGGGGAGAGGAGTCCAGACGCCCGGCACTCGCACACCCATATAAATGCCTTTCAGTTGATTGGAATGTCCTCATGTCTAGACCTCTCTGGCTTCTTTGAGAAAGAGGTGAGGGCAAAAGCTTACTTACAGTAGTTTTGTAAAACAATTTTTGTCTTCTTTGTTTGGCATTGAGTATTTCATTATCTATTACTGAAGTTGAAAGCTCTTTCTGATTGTGGGTTAATTTAGGATGTGTCTGAGAGGAAGATCAGATTTACATCCAACCACTCTGAAAAAGATTTGCTTGAAAAGATTGAAGAAATTGTACTAGAGATGGGATATTGTGTCCAGAAGAAAAATGGAAGGGTTAGTAGCTTTATATCCTCATTTTCTACTCA